CAAACTGTTTTACTATATGAATACATAGACACAGTCACCTGACTTATGTTAAAACAGATGTGCTCCTCCCCTCTGAGCACCAACTCCTATTAGGGGAGGCAGGGGATGGTTGTAACACTTTCAATTTCTCCAATCAGGAACAAGTTCAGAATCACCTGATTCACTCTGCACATACTTGGTTTAGTCCTTATGCCTCATGTGAGGAAGTAGGATCCTGTGGCAGACACAGACAAATTTATAAGGACAAAAGAAACTAATTTTGAGGTAAGACAGTATTTTCTTTTAACTTTATTTATGTTTGTGATAGCATTGCCTGCTTTGTAGTTTCATTCATCGAGCTCAACACGTTAATTATGTGATACCTTTCATGTAAGTTGTTTGTGCTGTTGGCTGTAAATAAGCCAGTTCATGGCTACAAGAATCTGGGTTAGTTGTGACAACATGTAAAAAATGTTATATATATATACATATATATATATATATATACCCCAAGCAAACTTTTACTGTGACTGACTGGCTGATACACACACAACAATGTTGTTAAAAGGTCATTTAAATGTTGATTAAAAGGCTTTCAGTGTCTTAGATTTTTGTCATAATCCTTATTTCATAATGTTACGTGTCACCCACACACATGTAACCCAGACTATGACTTGAACTGTTACATTTCACTCCATGTGTCTGAGACTAGACCATGCATTTTCTGTTTGTGTTTCAAGGTAACAGCTACACCCTTGAATAGCATACTGGTACACATGTATCATATTTTGAGTTCACCGGCTTGAAAGGGCTCCAAGATACATAGAATTGTCAAAATGTTACAACCATGCCTGGTCTCCCCCATGATTCAGATCTCTGACCTTTGCAGAGCATAGGTAACTTCTCTGTGCTTCATTCAGTGACTCTAGTTCAGCATTTAACCTCTCTAACTCCGCCAGGATGCCGACGTCCTTGCTCCCCTCCTCCTCTGTTAAATGGTATCTCCCAGGCGCACTACGTAATCAAACCATGTGATGTTTGGTATTGCGGGATTCAGGAAGCTCTCAACTTTTCAAAAATAACATTGTTTTTCTTTTATTTATTATGTATTTCGCACCAGAGCAGCCTAAACACACAAAGTCCAAAATCGCGATGAGTGGTGACAAGTCATGTCATGCCGTTTTTCAACGGGAAAAGTTAAAGGATTACTCGCAATCTTATGTGGAGCCATTAGTGGGGACTTAGCTGGTTTATAAAAGGTAAGAGTTTCACTCCTACCACTATTTTTGGCTGAGATATACCATCTAGAAAGTGGGATCATAACTTTCATGTTTCATATGGCTTTATTTGGTGATATTTTATTGTGTTTCTGTGTCAAAAACAACATCAGCTATCATAATCACACCTGATTTCAATCATTACAATGTCAGAAGCTGGCTGAGTATTGTTTGATCACTGACAGTACTGTTTTGAAGCAGAGTGACTGACCTGTCTTTTGGAGCTCCGTCTGGATCTTTTCATGGAAAAAACACTGTAGAATGATCATACTTTGAGCAGTCTTCTTCAAATTTGAAACAAATGTTCATTGACAGTGTGCCTACAGCCCCATAGTGTCATTTACCTGCTCAGATGAAGCCACAGACAGTTATTCATCCTGAAAAACATTTTTTATTTTATTTTAGACAAAATCTTCAACTTTTTACTGAGGCCCATTACTCTGTCTCTGTATCACCTAGAGTGTTTCTGACACTTTCAAAAGAAACTTCAGGGAGTTTTCTTTCTGACAAGACCTCATGCATGCATGTAGTCAGAGCAGTTCAGAAGCTACAGTCATTTTAATTTGGGTATGTCATTTTAGGCGTTTTTGCTACAAAATGGGGGTGGAGTACTAGGGATCCATTTGGAGTGTAGGGATCACAGGTTGTGCTTTAAACAAGTGCAGAGACAATTAAATCCACTCCAAATGCCACTGTAGGGGGCACCCAGATTTGAACTGGGGACCTCTTGATCTGCAGTCAAATGCTCTACCACTGAGCTATACCCCCTGCTGTAAATATTTTGTTTTTCCATGAAATCCATGAAAAGTTATAGCATACCAAAAATCTGACCTTGCAGGGGTTGCACGTTACAGCCTATTTGCTTCATCTGAATGAGTACAGAAAACATTCCAATGTTATTGTCACCAGAAGAGTTCAGGAATCTCCAGCGTTTCATGACTGTTGGGATAGAGATTAAGAGAGACAGCAAATATGTGTGTGAGCCAGAGAAACGTTTGACTCTTGACCTCCTTTAGTGTCTCATAACATCTGACATGAAAGAAGAAAAGGACCTGACACACATAATAGGAAGGCAGCAACTCCCTCAACCACCCACATATACAAACACATGCGCCTACAAGAACACACATAAAACACCAATGAGAAGCGAGCGTTCCGAAGCAGATACAGCGCCAGTAGCATCAGTCACAAGCTCAACTGCAGCTTGAATACATCACAGACAACAACAGAGTAGAAAATAACTGCAGGGAAAACATGCAACTCTGACACACTGTCTTGTGTTGAGTTAAACTGCCTACAGGGTGTGGGAGTGATGGTCGGGTGTTAATGATCATGATTCAGTTTAACGACATGGAGGTGGATGCTCACTGTTGGTATAGAGGGTTAGAAAATAAGAAAAATATATACAACACTGACACTAACACTGAGTCTGAAATTTACAATTTACTAATTTTACAAGAGGATAAATTGATGAAAAATGTGATGCATTACAATATGCCATGATACAATGTAATGCAGAGCAGAGGAATACGAGGTAATGTGATGCAATGTGATGGGAAAAATATAATGCAATGAGGTAGACCCAATGTGACAATGCCACAATAAGAGATACCTTTATGAAGCAGAGGATTGACGGGAGGAAAACTCACACTGTAAAGCATTTTCTCCGCCAGCCGAGCTATCAAGAGCCTGTACGGTGAAATGAACCTCACATGGAAAAAATAACCTTGTCAGTGTAAATCTGTCTCAGTGTGAAAATATTTCAGTCTGTAAACTTTTTTTTCCTGAAGGTTGATGAAGGTGAAATTTCTGCAGCTTCAGTGTCTGATCTCTTTCTCTCTGGGTCTTTATGTTGATCATCCCCCAGTTGGTACAGTAAGGAAGGATACCTACCACCTGGCAAACTGGAGATATCGGTTTGGTCCTAACCCAAAGGACCAGCAGTACGTCACTCAGGTTTGTGTGAAGAATGTATGTGTCCAAGCTAGGTTAGCAAGCTAGGCATGCTTGACATTTTGGATGCTTTTTTGACATTTATATACATTATCTGCTGTGTTTTATTCTTTTATTCAGCAGGCTGTTCAACTGATTTAAAGGGATAGTGCACCCAAAAATGAAAATTCAGCCATTATCTACTCACCCATATGCCGAGGGAGGGTCAGGTGAAGTTTTAGAGTCCTCACATCCCTTGCGGAGATCCCAGGGGAGAGGGGTAGTAACACAACTCCACTGATGGCGCCCCAGATTCAAACGTCCAAAAACACATAATTGAAACCACAGAATATCTCCATACTGCTTGTCCGTAGTGATCCAAGTGTCCTGAAGCCCCCACATAAAATGTTGCTTGGAAAAACGTCATTTGAACTCTGTTTCTAGCCTCATTGTAGCCTGCAGCTACAATTTTCATTTTTGGGTGCACTATCCCTTTAATCATGTGATATTCATGCATGGTATTTTAAACTGTGAACCTGCCTTATTAAGACTTTAGATGGATCATGCATGCTGTCACTTAAAATAGATTCATCTCACACTCCCTTAAAATGTAAAATCTTTAAACTTTTACCTAAATGGAAAATTTATTAAGCTGATTTTAAAGTCTAAAAATACCTTCAAGTGTACAAAAATTACAGATAACACGTTAAGATGTACCTTAAACATCTGAATGTTTTAAATAAGTTGCAAATTTGAGGTTGAGTAGTGAATTGATAGGGTTTTAATTGTTTATCTCACTAAAAGGATTTTTAAAAACCTTTAAAAGATGTTATTTTCTTCTGTCTATGATTTAAAGTGGATCTTACATTTCCTCATATGTGTTTATATATGAATTATCTGAATGATATATGAGGTTTTTAAGAGAAAAAATCTCATAAAATGTACCAAACAAGGTTAGTGTAGGATTTAGGGTGATAGGTTAGCAGAAATGAAAAAAAAAAATAGTAAGTATGTTTTCTTTAGTGAATAATCACCTGAAAATAAGAATCTGTGTTTTTTCAAAATGAGCTGTTCAGAGCTACATAGGAAGCGGATCTACAGAGATCGCCATGTTGCAATGCAGTGTTTCTACACTAGCCCAGAAGGGACAAACCCAACAGATAGGGCCATTCATATTTTCACATTTTCATGAAGGTCACTGCAGTTAGCAGCCCCTCCGTGACAAATGGCGGTTTTGACCATGAAACTGTTTGTTTAGGAGAGGAAGAGACCTCTGCAGATAATTCCGCTCCCAGCAAAAACCTCCTGAACATCTGGATTTTAAGTTACCAGAGAAAAAAGGTGAACACCCATAAGCAGGTGCTAGGTTAGCGGCCTGTCTCTGATATGCCAAACAGCGTTGCAGAAACACTGGTTTGTAAAGTGAGACTGCTTTATTCAGTGTTTTTACAGGTTTAAATCACCCAGCCTGCTTATTGTGGAGAGGAAAAGACTTCTGTGGATAATTCAGCTCCTGGTAAAAGCTTTCTGAATGGGGTGTCTAGTAGCTCAGTGAGTAGATCAGGCACCCCATGTATGAAGGCACTGTCCTTGCCGCAGCTGCCGCACATTTGATTAAAGCCTGCGGCCTCTTGCAGCAAGTCATCCCCTCTCTCTCCCCATTTCACGCTTGGTCTGTCTTATCTAATCAAGGCATAAAAAGCCAAAGCGAAATCTTGAAAAAAATCCTTAATGTCTGGATCAGACATTAGCAGGTGCTCGGTAAGCAGCCCATCTCTGACAAGCTGTACAGCATATGGAAACACTGAGTTGTAACCTGAAACTGCTTTATTCAGTGCTTTTCAGTGTTTTTACCACTTTAAATCACTGAGTCTGTTTGTTTTGGAGAGGAAGAGACCTCTGTACATAATTTAGCTCCCAATAAAAAACCCCTGTACAATGAACACTGGAAGATTTCTAACTGGGAGAAGTTTCAGCTGGTTGCAATCTGCAGTTCTCACTACTATATGCCTCTGAATCCTACACACTGCTCCTTTAATGCCACATTTTAAGAGGGAAAAGCTTATTAAAATGTACAGATTACAGGTCACTGTTGCACTTGTGCCCCCACGTTTGAAAGCAATGCCACAGGTACGTTCTTAGATGCCCCCTATGGCAGATAAAATATGATCAAGTGCCCTCTATGGAGGCCCAGTGGGAAAGAAAAGTGATCAGGTGCCCTATAGGGTGCCCCTACAGTGGAAGAAATGTTATGCAGTGCCATATAGGCCGCCCTACATGTTACAAGACTCTTTGCTGGTGCCATTTAAAACATAGCACAATAAAACTGTTCAAATTACTGCCACTGCACGGACACAGAAATGCTTCAGCACTGAATTACAGCCTGCTTTAACAGGTGTATACAGTATGTAAGCATGTGTGTTATTACCATGAAAACAGTGTCTGGGTCTGCTTGGTTATGCTGCAACATGACAGTATCATATTTCCAGGCTGTTTTTAACGCCTGCATTCCTTATCACCTTTGAGCTCGTCTTCTGCTCGTCTCTTAAGGTGCGGGTGGCTCTGCTCACAGGTGTAACACTGACTGCACATGCACATATATACACATACTTTGATCTGAGGGGTGGTTCGTTCAGTTGGTGGGAATTTCCCCTTGTATAGCTGAAGGAGGGTCCCCTTCCTTTACCTTCCAAAAAAGAAAAATAAATCCTCTATTTCTTGTTCCTCCAAGTCCTCTGAAGCTTCACGATGCTTGCCCTTTGGGGTTGGAAGCCATGCATGCTCCTCCTCTTCCTCACTCCCTTTTTTCTTCCTCTTCTCCTCCTCCTCCTTCCACACACACTCAATCCTCCCGTTGTTCGTCGCCCTGTGATCCCTTCACATCCAGGCCACCAAGCCTTTTCCATAGGTCTCCTATAAGGTCTTGGTGTCACACATCAAACAGGCCCTTCATGCACTTTCCTAACATGTTCACTGTGTTGCTGACAAGAGCTTATAGGAAGAAGGAGAGCTGCCAAGTCTGAATGAGGGTCCCTGTTTTTCTCCTCCATCTTTCAAGTGACTTATTAGGTGTAAAAAAAGAAAGAAAAAGAAGTACTGATTGAGACTTTCATTGGAGCATGAAGAAACGTTGGTTTACCTTGTCTGGAAATTAGTGCAGAGAAGCTTTGGCAGGATTTTCCGTTGTAAAAACAAATGATGGCCTTGAAACGGAGAAGCACCTCCTTCACCCAGGCCCCCACCTCTCTGCTCCCCTCAGGGCCAAAGTTTTAATTTTCTGCTCTGGTTTCAACACCATCCCCTTGGGAACTGGAGGATGCACAGGGAACAACAAAATTAGATTTATTGTATTTTAAATTAGCATAAATCCCCTCTCAAATTTTAGCACACTCTCCCTGCACTGTCCACCCCCTTTTTCAAGTTAATTAGATGTAAACAACTGGAACCCATTTTCTAAAAATATAGTTTTACTTTTAGATCCTTTTAAGATGTTCTTGCGCAAAGACGTACAACCCATTCACTTGAAAATATGTTGGAACTGAATATTTCTGCAAACCACCGATATGTTACATTTCAACACATTCCCATCCTACTTTGTCAAATGCACCACTTTGTCAGTGAACCTAAATAGTAAACCAGTAAAAAGTGCGTTACAGTAGTTGAGGCGGCTTGATATAAAGGCATGAATCGATTTCTCAGCATCTTTTTCATTTTGAAATGGTCGTACCTCAGCTATGTTTCTAAGGTGGAAAAATTACGTTTTAGTCACTTTGTTAAAGTGGGACTTGAAGCTTCGATTCTAATCAAATATCACACCAAGACTTGTCACCTTAGATGTAATCCAGGGAGTTAAATTCCCCAGATTATTAAACAGCACTTCTCTTTTTGTTCTGGGGCCTGCACGCAGGATTTCAGTTTTGTCTTCATTTAACTTTAAGAAATTATTGCTCATCCATTTATTTATTGCCAAAAGACAGGTAGTAATGGAGTTTGTGGCTGCAGCATTGTTTGGTTCAGCAGAGATTTACAGTTGCATGTCATCTGCGTAAAGGTTCATTCTCACTGCCGCGATGCGGAAATGCGGGATGGATTTGTGGAATATTCACACAGCGCTTTTCCGTGTTTAAACCATACACACAGGCGCGGTACGGACGTGGTGCGGAATTTCGCATTGTTGTGTTCAAATTCCACGCAGTGTGGGTGAACATGGACGAGAGTAGCAGCAGCAGCAGCGAGCTAGCAAGCTTAGGTTTAACAAGCGTCAACATCAACTTTGTTTAGCACTTACCACTCTCACCGCAGCCACCAAGCTGGACAATGGACTGCCAGACGTCCTTTAATTCATTGATCATAAAATCATCCCATCTTTTATCAAAAAGGACGGGGTGCTGTGAAACGAGGTATATCAACCTTTCTTCCATACTGTCCTGCCTGACTGGATTTCGGACTCCCCTGGGTCTGCGCGACGTCACTATAAACAACAATTTCATTGGCCCAGCTGTGTAGTTCCGCTGGTGAATTCCGCGGGGGTCAAAGTCTGGGCGGAAACTTTTTTCACCGCACGAAAGTTCCGCCCCGGTGTGCAAACTTCCATAAGAAACCATGAAATCAGCTTTTATATATTTCCGCGAGAATAATCCACGCCGATATTCGCCCTCAATGAGAATGGACTTTAACAATGGAAACAAACATTGTATTCTCTAATGTGTCACAGCATGTAAGAGACAGCATGTAAAGTGAGAATAATAATGGACCAAGGCAGCTGCCTTGTGCAACCCCAAAATAGAGGTCATGTTTCTCCAACACATGTCCTCTAAGACTGACATAAAACTTCTTCCTTTTAATGTTTGAACCCATTTAACACATAGTCACAGTCTGAGAGGACAAGAACTGAGACCTTATTTTCAGCAGAATTTGGTCTTAGGTCGCTGACTGTTATAGTAAGCCTGACTGAAATCCCTCCAGGACACTATTCTCTTTAAGAGAGGAATTAATTTGCAGTGAAACTATTTTTTAAAGTATTTTATTAATGTATGGGAGGTTGGCTATCAGCCTATAGCTGGTCAGTGCATTTCCATCTAGGTTGGGTTTCTTTAGTATGGGTTTTACAACAGCTGTTTTAAAGGCATCTGGGAAGATGCCTGTCTGTGGCTTGGTAGCCATCTCGCCTAGGTAACATGCCACCTGCCATCCAATCCACCTTTCAAGTCATATTTTACGTCACTTTAGAAAGTTGATGTGATACATGTGAAAAGTGCAAATGTAACATATTTGTGGTTTGCAGAAACATACAATACCAACATTTCCTTCTGGCAAATGGGCTGAGACACATTTTGGATCCTGAACCCCATATTTGGATTAAAACGATCTTGTTGAACATCATACCAAATGCTTACATAGCAAGAATCAGGGTTAAGATGAGGTGACAGGGTTGTGGTTAGAGAGAATATTGTGTAACTGACATGCCACAGCTGCAGCAGTCATGTAGAGCTAAACTGTCCTGAAGAAGACTCTGTACTGTACCTGCATCTGAAAACCGCTGCAGTTGAGCTTCTTTCCTCTCTTTATTCTTCACCAAACAAAACAGACTGCTCGCTCAGAGATCTGAAATAACTCAAAACTTTCCTGCACCTGTGTTTCCCATCTCTCCGACTCCAGCAGTTAACCTTTCAAGATGAACGACTTTCAGTGAGGCACGACCACAGCTCTTTCCAGCCGGGGTAATTTTCCTGACACGAGGGCAAACAGACAAAAACGAACTCGGACCCAGGTTCTTAATTTTGGAACAAAGCGTCATAAGTGTCACAGAAAAAGCACAAGCTGGTGTGAAAGATTAACACACACGAGTACGCACACAACCGGGGCTTGAGAGGCACGTACGCCACTCGCATACACATATCACACATGCTCGAAGGAAAGCCACTTCCCCAAACTTGCCATCTGGGGAAGTTTTGGTGGTTTTTCAGTGTAAATTTGCACAGTTGTGGTTTTTACAGAGCTGCTAAGAAAAGCCTTCATGGACATTTGGAGCAGAGGAAATGCGTCAACGGAGGAGGAATACTAACCTCTCAGGACAAACTCATCCATTCACACACAGATTACAGTGTAATGGCTCTGTGTGTAAGGGTGGCATGACCCCATCTAGCCAGGGTCATTGTCTTACCATTTTGAATGAAGATCAGACTGAAGAAACTCTGACATGGAATGCTCTTCTTACACTGACACGTCTTCTATTAAAATCACAAAACAATATTAAGTAAATGTAGGACAGCAACAGGCCGGCCTTGCGTGCTTAAGAAAAGTTTCAGAAGAAAATGAAATCACCAAACTCAGAGTGCTCTCGTGGTTCCTGGAATTAAAGGGAGGATAAAAAATGGGTCACAACTGGAAGGCAGGTGAGGGGGTTAATAAAAGATGTAAGAGGGATGGAGGAAGGAAAGGGAGAAAGAACGACAGAGAGAGAGAGACTGAAGGAGAAAATGACTGCGAGGTAAAACTATTTCTGGAATGCACCTTCACTTAAAGTCTAACCAGGCAACACACACACACACACACACACACGCACACGGTGACAACTGAACCCATTTCTACAGTATATGATAAGCTAATCGGGGCATTGGGTTTCCACTCTTTCTCCAGAAAACACTATCTGATTTAGGGGACTTCCTGCTTTCTCTCCCCTCCCTGCTCCCTTCATTCTTTGATATTAATACTTCCTAGTGCGTGCTGCTTCATGTGTGTGTACTCATGCCAGGAACCATATACACCTTAGAAATGTCAATCCAGCTTTAGGGTGTGTCTGTGTGCATGTATGTATTTTTGCTATTATTTTTTTTTTAACTGTAGGCTATTGTGCGTGTCTTACTTTCATCTGCTACTCTGACATTCTGTACGTTACCTTAAAAGAACAGGTCACCCTAGAATCAAAAATGCATATTTTCTTCTTCCCTGTAGTGCTATTTATCAGTCCAGATTGTTGTGGTGCGAGCTGCTGACTGTTGGAGATATCGGCCGTAGAGATATCTATCTTCTCTTTGTTGTAACAGAACTAGATGGCACTCTTGTTGTGAGCAGTTTCATGTAGGAGCTGTTGTCTTTCCACCGAACTACACCCACCACCCGTATCATCGCGAAGAAGGAGACGTGCATCTACTCATGGACGAGACAGACAACCATTCACGCTCACATTCACGGCCAATTCAGAGTCACCACTTAACCTGCATGTTTTTGGACTGTGGGAAGAAGCAGGAGTACCCGGCAAAAACCCACGCTGACACGAGGAGAACATGCAAACTCCACACAGAAAGGCTCCCCCACCCTGAGTTCAAAACCAGGAACCCTCATGCTGTGAGGCGACAATGCTAACCACTGCACCACCGTGCCACCACAGTGGGTGATGTAAACATTGATGGCGTCGCCCACAGCTGAGCTGTAATGTTAGCTAGCTCAGTGGTGCTAGGTGAGCTAGCAGTAGATGCACACCTCCTTCTGCGTGATGATACAGTTCGTGGGTGTAGTTTGGTAGACTGAAAATAGTTCCTACATGAAACTGCTCACAACAAGGTCTGTGGATTATCTTGAGTAATCGGTTCATGATTTCTGGAAAGAGACATTGCTGAGTTTTTCAAATGTATTTTTGTCACTTTGAGCCCCACAAGTCAAGTGCCATCTAGTTCCATTATATTGGAGAGAAGGCATACATCTCTTCGGCTGATATCGCTAACAGTCAGCAACTCACATCAAAACAATCTAGACTGATAAACAGACAATACAGGTATGATGGAAAAATAGTGGCATCCCTTAGCGATGAAGCTATGAGGCATGAACTCGTACTGCTGGTTTTTTATTTCTTAAAGGGATAGTGCACCCAAAAATGAAAATTCAGCCATTATCTACTCACCAATATGCCGAGGGAGGCTCTGGTGAAGTTTTAGAGTCCTCACAATACTTGCGAAGATCCCAGGGGGGAGTGGGTAGCAGCACAACTACACACCTAATGGCTGAGGGCGCCCCCGATTAAAACGTCCCAGAACATATAATTGAAACCACAAAATATCTCCATACTGCTCGTCCATAGTGATCCAAGTGTTCTGAAGCCCCGACATAAAAAGTTGTTTGGAAAAACGTCATTTTTAGCCTCATTGTAGCCTGTAGCTCTGACTGCCTCTCTGTGCACCACGCTCACGTGTGTGTGCTTGTGCGCGACACCAGTGAAAGCGAGCAGTATGGAGATATTTTGTGGTTTCAATTATGTGTCCTTGGACGTTTTAATCTGGGGCGCCGTCAGCCATTAGGTGTGCACTTGTGTTGCTACCCACTTCTCCCTTGGATCTCTGTAAGTGTTGTGAGGACTCTAAAATTTCACCAGAGCCTCCCTCGGCATATGGTTGAGTAGATAATGGCTGAATTTTCATTTTTGGGTGCACTATCCCTTTAACTTTAACACAGGCTATTGTGGGCCATAGCCAGCGTGGAAACAACAAACCTGTCTGCTTTACAAGGTGTTCTCTGCATTAGCGACTACTTCAGCAGCTCCTGCTCCTCAGCTTACACACACACTCAAACTAGCAGGAAAAACAACAACCCTCCCTCCTCAAATCTCTGCCAACCACAGGTGGGTATGTCACACAAATCACTGTTATAGGTGCCAGTACTTGGAGTTTGCTTGAAGTAACACGTTTACTGACATTATGGAAAACTCAGTCACTGCCACAACAGTCTTTTTTACTGTAGGTAAACATATCACATTCTTAACAGTGACAGAATCCATACAGCTAACATCAGGTCACCTGGTCTGTTACAGGGAGGACTAGTGGGAATTGGTGCTAACTTTAGCAAGCTTGGCTTACTAACTTCCACTTTCAGAGAGAAATACAAATATGGTAACTCCTCCAAATGTCAAATGTAAAAGACTGATGTCTTCAATCCAGGCGTCAAACATCAGTCAAACACTGCCATGGCAATTAATATGAACAGTTTACTCCTCTGTTGAAAAATGGCAAATGATTTATCTGCACTTTTATTTTGCTTCACATTTCTTTAAACAAAAAGTGTAGAGAATTTACTGCAACTCAAATGTTTTGTGTTTGGATGAGTGTGTAGTGAGCGTGCGTGTGTATTTGATGTTGGATTGACTTCCACTCCCCCCGTTATTGTCACATCCACTGTCCTCACTGTTTCCTGTTTACATGAGACGACTTCCTCTGCACACTGACAACGCACTAAACGGCCACAGACCTGTCTTCTCTCCCTCCAGAAAAGGTCATAAACAAACCAGAGGCGGATGAAAAAAGTAACACTGGCTTCTTTGCTGCTCTTTTGTCCCTCTGAAGGAATTGATCAATGGTGGAGAGTAATGGCCGGAAGCTGCACGTTGAAGCGGCTCAAATGGCCAAATTTTCTTTCATCTCTCTCCCTTTCAAGATGGTTTAGAGCGTAATACACATAAACACACACACAAACACACACACCTACACACACAAACACACACACATAGAAACACCATTCTGGGAGCTCTCTAATGTCCTGCCATGCAGGTGTGTGCTAATCTGCTAATCTTCTAAATCCAATAATAATGGCAATCCTGATCTTCATACGATCCCATCGAGATCAATGGAGCAGCTGTGATGCATGTGTACAGATTAGCAGACAAGTACACATGGATACACACGTATATACAGTACACACATTAAGGGATATATACTGTAGTGGCACCAGTTAGTCCAGTAAGAGATATTGGGACTGATGTCAGCCTAACTTCAGCCTCAGCTGGTCAAAACTGAACCCAGAACTGTGATAGACATTCACAACAGACAATTTGGATAGTTTTTGTATTACTTTTTTTCCCTTTAAAACAAGTTAAGCTAAAGTGGAATTTTGATTAAAACCCACGGGACTGCGGGTCCATGTCATTGGTTCGACAGCCCATTGGTTCGACATCCCATTAGTCCGACTGTCCGCAGTGCTGAACGGCTCACGGCAGGCGTATGGTGCACCGCGACCGGCTTGAGGCGGAACAGGCTCACGGCTTATGTGTTTGCCACTTTCTTTTTCATTTTAACCCACACCATGATCTTTTCCTGACCCTAACCAAGTGGTTTTTGTGCCTAAACCTAACCAGACCTTAACCACAGGGCGTCATGATGATTTTGGAACGGACTTCCGAACAATGAGTTTAATATGGTCGGAACAATGGGATGTCGAACCAATGGGCTGTCGAACCAATGGGCAGTTCCCCGTGACTGCCAGGCTGCTTGAGTTTCTTGCCCGTTGAATTTCTTGTTAGCAACATCAGCGCGTTCCCAGATCTCAGAAATGAAAGGTACCTTAATGACATTTTGACCAGGTTCTATAAAACCAGCATTTTCTTTAGGACTGGAGGGTGGCATTGTTTTTTGATCAAAACAGCACATTTTTCTCTTACCTATATCTTGATGGAAACAATACTCCTGTAGATCCAACATGTTTTCACACCTAACTCATCAAAAACGGCAGCTTCACCAGTGGCCCTAAGCTTCAAATTATGACATTTGGACGTGGCTGTGGCTCAGAAAGGCACTATACAAGTGCAGTCCATTTGCAGTCTAGATACAGCCTTAGCATTAGTTTTGAATGTGTCAGTCTCCATGTCAATTTCCGCATGTTGAATGCTACACTGTCTTTCATAAACTTCCGTCTTCACAGAAAACTCAAGGAAGGAAGCCAAAGCCACTTAAAGTTTAGGC